CAAGCAAAAAAGAAGAAAAAAAAAGACAAAGGAAAGGAATGAAAAAAGAAATAAATGAAAAGGAAAGGAAGAGCGAGGGTTGAATGAATTAAACACTGAAGAAAGAGGCGGTGTCACTGTTGATAACGTTGCGGTTAAATCCATTCAGTCTCTAATTAAACATTAACGAGAGGCTAGCCTCATCAGGTGGTCTTAAACAAAATGTTTAAAATAAATCGAAAACAATTGCAAATAACACACATACACAAAACAACAAACAAATGGCATCAACCACTAATCAAGAACACAAAAGCAAGAAAGGAAAAACATCGACCGAGGGGAAAAAATGAAGGAAAAAAAAAAGAGAAAGAAAAAAGAAAGAAAGAAATGCCACGAAGCGACGACGCATTGCGGGTAGATTATTAGCTTTTTCAGTGTAGACCAGAAAACTATATAGACCGAAAATTAAACCATATGTAAATTTTTAATATCCGTATGTAGAGTTCACTTGTTCATAATGTATGACCGGTAATACTCCATAAAAAGGCTTTAGACCTTTTTCAAAAGGATTAGATTATTTTTTTTACGCGAAAGGTACTTCGTTTTATATCACACTACTCATTATTAAATGTTTTTTTCCGCTTATTATTGAGTTGCTTCGCGTTTAATTCGATGTCGTTATCATCGATTGACCATAAGGCGAACTACAAACGCTTATTTACAAATTTTAAAGTCCGGTGGAATTTGTTTTTTTCCAACGAGTTTTTGTTGTTTGTCTTTATTATGGACTTGTCTTTATTATCTCATTTTCATAAGTATGAGTGGTAGGGATCTATTGAGAGAGAACCCAGCTTAAGCCTAATAGTCCCTCGTTGATAAAGGATTAGTTCTGGCGATTCATAATGTTAATGGATTGGCAGTAAAAGCAAAGAATGAGGCCTTCATTTATAAATAATTAGAAACTTTGGGGAGAGGGGATATTAGTTTTTGGAGCCTAAAGCTTAGTATGAGCAATCAGACATGAAAAATCGATATTCACCCGGGGGTGTTCACCAAAATGCTCAATGCTTTGTGGGAGCATACGGTAAAAAATTAAAACTATCAGAAAAGCAAATGCGTTTACGCCCATCCATAAGTAAACGCTAACACAAGAACAGACAGATATTATGCGCATATCAGCTAATCCAGCGATCTTTGGACTTGGAGCGTACAACATATCRAAATCTAGCAAAACGCAGATCATACAAAAGAAAAACAAAACAAGAAAGATGTTTTTGTTTGGTCTGAAGAAAAAGTAGAGCTTCTTCAGTACGTGACAAATGAATTACAAGCGCGGGTTTTGCTTGGCCTTTGTCTTTTACTAAAATGATTCGTCTTAAGTAAGATATCATTGTTGTAAAATCTCATAATGATCTTATCAGCTTAAGCTTCCTACTGATAAACTGCAATTAGCCTTCTCCGCAGGCTACTCCATATATTCTATATTCTCTGTWGGGATCCCTGTGTTAAATATTATAACAGAGAAGCACTAGGCACGAGGGAGAGGAGTGCCTGATGAGGCGATACTGCACTATGAACTTGAAAGCACGCCATCAAGCTTGAAACATACGACTATCCGCCATCTTCGATACCTACTCAATTTGGGAGACTGGAACAGAACTGACCTTGTGGCGAATGTTTTTCGGAACGTTCTTGAAAGTACTCGTTTACGCCGTCCTCACGAGAAGTAGAATAAACCACAATTAACGGCATTTTTGAAATTATCCACTTTGAAAAACATTTTGGAGTATAAGGCCCCGTCCACACGTATCCGGAAATTTTTGTRTCCGCAAATTTTTTTTGCGGATACGAAAATGTTCGCGTCCACACGCARCGTATTCGAATCGTTTTCKAATCGTTTTCACTGTCCACACGTATCCGGAAATTTCTTGATCCGCCCTGATACACGCTAGTGCCTAGTTCCTTTGACGGATAGTTTTTCTTATTGAGTATGCGCAAAATCGTGTTTACGTCAKCGTATTCRAAAATTTKYGGATACGACCGTCCACACGTATCYGTATTCGGAGCGTATTCGAAAATTTCCACTCTGGAGACCGTTTTCGAAAATTTCCGGATACGGGTACAAAAATTTCCGGACAYGTGTGGACGCAACCCGTATCCGCAAAAAAAAATTTGCGGATACGAAAATTTGCGGATACGTGTGGACGGGGCCTAAGTTTACGTCGAGCGTTTTCATTGTTTACGTGGTAGGCAACTAAACGCTTTAAAAAGCATGCGTTTTTTAATTAAAAACATACAGATGTGAACAGGTTTTATCTCCCCAAAACCACAATTTTTTGTACGACTTCAAGCAAATAATGACGTCATTCCATGAAAAACAACCGCAAGTTCGAAAACGAAAACCCGTTCTGTAGAGTCTCTAAGTAATTTCCTTCACTGTAATATCATTTACTTTCTATCATACCATTATTAATAGACGTTGAGAGAAATTGCACACATTTGCACAAATAGTATTTATTCGTGGAGTGACAATGTTTTCCCATATTGAACCTGACAAACCTCTAGGGGAATGAACAGCTATTGTTTTAAAACTCGTCGGGATACCATCGTTATTCTTTTCGTATATGTGTCCTTTGGGATACTCATGACTTTTTTGAAGAGTAAGGCCCCGTCCACACGTATCCGGAATTTTTTGTATCCGCAAATTATTTTTTGCGGATACGAAAATGTTTGCGTCCACACGCAGCGTATTCGAATCGTTTTCGCCGTCCACACGTATCCGTTTTCGTAAAATTTGCGGATACGTACACAAAAATTTGCGGRCACATGTGGACGCARCCCGTAWCCGYAAAAAAMKTTTGCGGATACAAAAATTTCCGGATACGTGTGGACGGGGCCTTAAAGCAAAAGAAAACGAATCCTCTGGAGGTTTGTCCCTAGAGGAATCGTTAGAACAATTTCTYTAAGGTCTATTTGCACAAATTAGTGAGTTCAGTAGACCTCAGTAGACAGTAGTSTACTGTCGGTCAGAAAATCTCTTTTCCGACTGACACTTAAAGAACGGCTGCAAAGGAGACTAAGTAGACCGTACACCTACAAAACGTTGCACTATTTCGTACAACATTGTTAGTTAACTTTCTCACAGATATGTGGTATGCAATCTACTTTCTATCGATCTATGGTATTCGTAGTTAACTATATATAACAGTTATATTATCTGAGCCGATTGAATAACCTTGAACAAAAAAGTCAGGTTCGACAAAATACAGCAGACTCGATAAAATATCCACCCATATTCTACCCAAAAATGTCTAATAAGATCTATATGTTATTATTATATTATGATCATTATTATTATTATTGTTATCACTTCAATTCTTACCAGTTCTATGTGGCTTAGTTGCTGTGCCATGATGGAAGGATCCGTGCAAACCTCTAGCACGCTCTGAAGAAAAGGAATGGAAAAATGAAAAAAAACGTTCGAAAGTTTTTAGACCGACTCGCAACTGTCGCAAGCAACATGCTGACGCCAAGGTTCAGCCGCCATTTACAGTCCTAAAGGCGCGATTACACAGAGCAATTTTCTATGCAACTTATCTCGCAACGGCGTTGCGACACAAGTTGCATGGAGCACTGCAGCGTGTAACCTACAGCGCAATATGAAAAATGTTGCGAGACAACCTGCAGCAATCGTTGCGAAAAGTAAAATTCGTTTCTACTTTTGGTAAAGATTGCGTCTCCGTTGCACCGTRCAAACACTCTTGCAACTTGTGTCGCAACGCAGTTACGAGACAAGTTGCAGAGAAAATTGCTTCGTGTAATCGCGCCTTAAGGAAGTTGTGTGGTCGATTTTACACGAGGCTGTTCGTGACGTACGCATGTTGCGCGCGGCAGTTGTGAGGAAAAAGGCCTACCGTCTAAATCTTCCTTTATAGAAAATCATATGGATACTAAATTTCTTAATAGAATAACTGTTATAAATTTCGCGTTTTCATTGGTTGCGAGCGCGTGCTTTATGGGAGCACACAGCACGCGTGCGCACTATCAGTTGCGTCATTCTTATCTGAAATGGAGGTAATTCCAATAGGTATTTTATAAAAAGAAATAAAAAACTTGCTTGCTGTGCTGTGTGCAGTTATAACGCACTTGGGGATTGACAGAACACTCGAGRAGTATCGAAAAGCATGGCGCCCTCCTAACACTTCTCTCGTGTTCTGCCWACCCCCACGTGCTTTATAACTAAACACAGCACGCGCGCGCGTTTGGGACCGCCGGCTAGGTTTGCGCGCGCYAGCTGATCCTAACGAGTCTGTCTGTCTGTTTATAGGTACCTTACCTTATATTTTGAGGGGTTTGTGCGCCGTCTGTCTTCTGCGGCAGCGGATGCTTGTGTTAAAACTTCATCGTATTTGTCAAACACTGCGAGCTAGAAAAAAACCGAATCAAACCATAACATGAAACATTTCAACAAAATAATAAATAAATAAAGACAAATGAACGAATAAATAAATAATAAAACAAATATACTTAAAAAATACACCAGTTTGAAAAAAAAGATGAAAGTAAATACAGACTCTTATTCTCAAGGGCATGACACATGGTTTGTGATAGAAAAACATTACGACCAACTGGATTGGGTACATTGCACTCTGATTGGCTGATAACGGATATCTTTCTATTAATCCTTAGTATTTTGCTCATGTGTGCAAACTAAAGAAACYTTCAAATAAACGTGTGAAATGAATGTTTTCCCCCCTGATTCCATGCAATTAAAACGTTCTTAAAACGTAAAGCTACTTTAGAACATTTCACTATTCAGCAAACATATTAATTAGTTATGTTTTACCAGTTTAATAACTTAGTTTCCTCGATAACTTTTATTAAGTATTTTCCCAGTCATTTATCTAAATCTAATTTAATTTAATTTACAATTTTTTCTATTTTAATTCAATTGTAAGAGGGCCATAATGTAAACTACTGGGCTACCAGTAATGTATGCCACCCTCATTAAATAAAGTTATATTATTATTATTATTATTATTAAATAATGAATTTAAAATAACGACAAATTAGAAAAAAAGTACCTTGCAAAATAATGCCTGTGTCACTTGTCCAACTAGCTTTTTAAGATCCTAAAAAAAACGAGAAACACTTACTATATCACAAGAACTATAGAGGGATATGAGAGATGAAAATAATAAACGGCAATTACCGTGCTCAAGGATGCGCAGTACGATGTGATATCTTTGAAGTGCATCATCATGACCTCGTCTCTAAAGTCGTTGGTGAAAGCCTCGGTCCATTCACTATGATATAAGTCAATCAAAGTCAGTCGATTGATAAAATGGTATGAGATATTGATAAGGACAGGACAGCAGAAGAAAATAGGGAGGTTAAGACAGAGGAGAGGAGAGGAGAGGAGAGGAGAGGAGAGGAGAGGAGAGGAGAGGAGAGGAGAGGGGCGTATCCAGGATATGTAATTGGGGGGTTCCTTATATACCAAATTGTCACTTGACGTCATAYGACGTCAATATGACGTCATAGCAATCTATCGTTTTGACGAAAAAGAATCATGGTCGATAGAGGGGAACCGAACAACGTACACGGCTATAATTGAAACRAAAAGCGTTCTGTAGAACAAAACGATAAAAGATATGTTAATTAATCACCAACACATATAGATTTTTTTGGCTTTGAAAGGGGGGTCACGGGCACCCTGTGACCCCCCCTGAATATGCCCCTGGAGGAGAGGAGAGGAGAGGAGATGAGTGGGTCAGTCTATTAAAGGATATGTATATTCCTTTTCTTACCTCATTAGCTGAACGATGTTAGAACCAAGTTTTATTGCCTAAAATAATTAACCGACAAGTATTATCAAGAGAATATATAGTTCATATCCTCTTGGTATTATACAAACAGGAAGGCGGTGTCTTTTTATCATTTAGTATTGCAAGCTTAAATATAGAGTAGTTCCCACTTGAATAAAACGTAGAATATGACCAAGGTCTTATTTCGTCGAGACACGAGTTACACTAATACGAATACATTAATCATACTTGTAAAACTATTAATCATACAGCTTCTCATTAATCCCATATAGGTAACTGTCCAATTATTTTCTTAATTGGACAGGTCTTGCTGATATGGGATTAATTAGGCAGCTATATAATTAATAGGTAATGAGATTTCATGCTCCCCAATCAAGAAATAATTAGACGAGACTACGGCCTCATCCAATTTTGGAAGTCCTCGGAATTTTCCTCGTCCAATTATTTCTTAATTGGACAGCATAGAGTCCTATTACATATACTAATAAACTTTTCTTTTTGGTTGGCAATTTTATAACTCGTCTTATACTAAAGCGTGGTTCTCACAAGCGAAGCAAGGCGACAGGAACGCAAGAAAAACAAAATCTTCCGTTAACTTGCGTTTGGTTTTGCGCTTGCGTCGCTTCTATTCGATATAAAATTTAGTACCAAATAGAGTTGCGTCTGCTTGCGTCGCTATTGACAACCACGCATAAATTCGTGCTTCGATATTCCTTCTCTGTAACTTACATCTGAAGGTGATGCATCCTTCATTGTTTTAGCACAGTCCTAAAATATGAACAAGAAACGAAAAGTCACCT